ATGGGGAACATACACCAGATCCCAACAACCAGTACTCAAGAATGCCATCCAATGTATCCGTAAGTGGAGATCCAACTAATTATCACGAATACAACATATGGCCAGAGGGTTGGGTCAACCAAAAGAATCCATGCGCTGCTATGGATATAAATGGCAAGCAATTGATATACATTATGAATGCCGACAACACTTCAGTGAACACCAGAATCATGAGGATGTCTAACAACCCATTCATTCAGATGAATACTACCGAAGAATATTCTGTTGGCAAACATTTTGTCGGATTTTTCAATGTATATAAAAACGATGACAAAAGCAATGCTGAGGACAAGATCTATGGCGTGACATATGATTCCCAAACGAAGACTTCAGACATTTATGAGTATAATCCCGCCGACCATACCCTCGAATATACGGCAAGTGTTAATGAAAACTAAAATACTTTTCAAAACTCTTGTATAAAGTAATTGTTTTGTTTAAAGGGTAAGAATTTCAAACAATTCATGGGATGTCCCGGAACTGATGAAAGTGCTTCACCCCTCACTCTTATAGTCATAATCTTAGTGATAGCCGTTATAATCACTTGTTTTTGTGTAATGATAGTCTTGTTTTGCAGATATGTTATCCTTTCAAACGCAACCAATAGGAAATCAAGCGGTTTGTATTGGACAGCATAATATATACCGTATTATGATTGAAGTGAATATGAAATTAATGTGAAATCATTGCTTCACTTAAAGCTCGCGTCCAGTGGCGAGACATTCAATCGGAATCTCAAAGATCTCGTAAAACGGATGTCTCGACGAATGTCACCATTAAGACCATTAACTCAGAGACTGGCAAACGAGTGGACTCTTCGTAAAGACTAACTTATCGCTCATTCACTACAAAATTCATTTGTCTTTTCATTATCTCCAAGCTATATTTAAATCCTAAAATTATTGTAAAATACTACAATTATAAACTTTTCTTAAACTAAATATTAGTTAACAAATAGATCAAATAAAGTTTCAAGTAATTTATATAAAAACATTTATAGATATATTTAGTAATTTTGTTTTTATAAACTTCACAATATACATTTAATTATAACCTTGTGCATAATTAGACTATAAAGTGAATTTCAACCAAGTGAATAATTGTCTTGTAATTGATAAATTTATATGATTTATGTTAGAAATATAATATTCAAATTGAATATGAAATTATATGTCCAAATGTTTGACAAATCATTCATATTTGTAGTACATGTTGTCAATTGTAAGCCTTAATTCATTGATCATAAACCCAATAATTAACTAAACTTTCAATCAATTCAATCAAATGAAACTTTATGGAAATCCCAATCAATACAAATTCATATCATATGCAATAAGTTTGACATTATATCACGTTTTATATGAACTCTCATAGCTTTCACTGCATTCATAAATAACATAATTTAGTGATCACTACATAAATGAAGACAACATTTCTATTCCCCTTCCCATTGAACTGAATGTAAAGATTTATCAGTAGTTTGGGCGCCAATAGTGGACCCATAGGCGAGTCACGTGACACTGAATACGGCCACCATTTAGGTTACGGCTACTCAACGGTTAGCAATCGTTTCACAAGACATTTGGTGATCAAAACCATTCACTACTCATACGATGTCTGAAAGAGGCAGAGGAAGAGGTAAGTGATGTCTGGCAGTGAAGTGAATCCATTTGTAAGCCAATTATCTGAACATTCAGGACGAGGAAAGCGATCGCCAGTTGTGGACACACCCACTGAGCCCACGGATGACATCGACTATCAATTGGGTGACAAACCGGGCGCTTATGGCAGAGCCACTGGTGATGACAACGGCGACAATGATAACAATGATCTACAATTGGCGCAATACATGGACGCCATGTCGACCGGCGAGTCGCCCGCCATTAGGTCCACCTTAAGGTCGGTGTCAGTCACGAGCAATGGTTCCGGCGGTGATGTGGAGGCACTCATTAACGCCAAGCCATTGATGCCATTGATTGACATGAAGTGGACTAAACAGTTGGCTAAACGACCGGCGCTTTCCGGCACCGCCGGCCGACAGATCGGTGTCATCGCCAACCACTTCCGGCTGACGCTCAAGACGTTGTCTGTCTATCACTACGATATTGAGATCAGACGCGCCGTACGTACGGGCGATAAGTTTGTGACAATCAATGGGCCGCAGGAGAAGAAGATGCGAAAAATGGCTCAAAAAGACAACNGGTGTCATCGCCAACCACTTCCGGCTGACGCTCAAGACGTTGTCTGTCTATCACTACGATATTGAGATCAGACGCGCCGTACGTACGGGCGATAAGTTTGTGACAATCAATGGGCCGCAGGAGAAGAAGATGCGAAAAATGGCTCAAAAAGACAACTTCGATATCATCGAGAAGTTGGCCAAAGAGTGGCCGCAAGTGTTCGCAAAGACGACGTTCGTCTTCGACGGCCTCAAGAATCTCTACTCCAATACACGACTGGATCTGTCGGAGAGACAGGTCTCGAAGATCGTAACGATCTCTTCAATGGACAGAACCGATGAGCAGTGGTTTGAGGTTCAGATCCAGTCGACCAAAGAGGACGACAACGAGATTAACATGTCATCGATTAACGACTGGTTTGACAAACGGGTCGATGTCTTGCCGGAGGACGCGATGCATGTCTTGGAGATTATGCTTCGATACAAACCGACGGCCAGTCGTATACCCGTCGGTCGATCCCTGTATGCCGTGAATCAGAAGAAGGAAGACGTGGACACAAACACGTACTTCACGTACGGACACAACCAGTCCGTACACATGACAGAAGTGGGACCCACTCTAGTGATCAACCGAACGGCCACTTTGTTCCACAGAGACCTCACTCTTATGGACTTCGTGTTGGGCTTAACGCCGAGGCTTCGGGATGTAAGACAAATCAATTTCGACAAACGAACCATTGATGGCCTCAGCAGACAATTGGATGGCATCCGTGTCACCACTACTCATACGGGCGGCAAACGGCACGCCGTCATCGAGAAGTTGACTGATCTTAAGGCGAAGGATATCGTCTTCGAGATGACCAAAAATGGCGTCAAAACGGAGACAACAGTGTCGAAGCACTTCTCGGATAGCTATGGCATTGATCTCAAGTATCCCGACATTCCGGTGATTAAGTTGAAGGGAATGGCCGCTCGATATATGCCGATAGAGCTGTGCTATGTGTCCACCAGTCAGCCCGTCCTCCGCAAGCATATGACGGTCGCTATGACCTCACAGTTGGTCCGAAAGAGTGGTCAACAGAGACCTAAAGAGCGGTTCGAGTTCGTGAAGGACACCGTCAATAAGATCGCCACCGAAAGCAAAGACCTGTTCGACGAGTTGGGGATCTCTCTCGACACCAAACCCATTGAGTTCAACGCCCGAGTGCTCGACAAACCTGTCTGTATGGGCGACGACCGCAAACTCTTCGAAGCGAAACCGCTGTCCGATTGGTTCTTCGTGTCGATTGCGCCCCACTTTGACGCCAATCACGACAGTAATGTCGAGGACTTCATTAGTCGGTTGACCGCAGAGGCAAAGCGAATGGGAATCACTGTCAGCAAACCGTTCGTTAAGAAAGTGGACTACAGGGGCGCGGATACCGTTAAATTGGTTTTCGAGAAAATTAAATGTTTGCCAACACTTCCGCCACTCGTGGTCTTCTGCATCCCATACGGCGATGGAACGTACCATCAGATCAAACACATGGCGGACATCGACGTGGGAGTGATGACCCA